CATACCCAAACATACTTAAAAATTTCCCAGGAACGGAATTGCATATCGGTTTTTAAATTTAATTGAAATAGAAAAATTAGTTCCTTCGTCATCCCAGCGCATTGCAGGTGTTCCGTAGTCACGTTGGAGCCCACGTTGGGCCGCAGAGGTGCAGCTCTTCTAGAACCCAAGCAGGGCTTCCATGCTTAGCATCATTTAGTGGCTGCCTGTTGCCTCAGGAATAAAGTCCAAACGCTTCATGACCCCCATGATCCCACGGCCCTTTACCCTCCGCCCACTCTGCCTACCCTCAGCGCGGAGCTCCAGCAAGGCCCAACTAGTGTGTGTGACCACAGTCCTGGTGCTCTTACTCCATGTGCACCCACTCTGCCTGGTTCACCCACTAAGCTTTGAAGATTCAGTGTAAGCATCTGTGTTGCCTCCAGGAAGAGCTACCCTTGGCGCTTGTAAAACATGTTATTGCACCTCTTCCTCTGGCTGTCTTTCATTATTAGACTGTGAGCTCTGTGGGTTGGGACTGTTTATTTTTCCTGTATTTCCAGCCCAGCACCTTGAATATACAGCATAAATGTTTTAATTTTTTTTTTTTTTAAGATTTTATTTATTTGCGAGAGAGAGAATGAGAGACAGAGAGCATGAGAGGGAGGAGAGTCAGAGGGAGAAGCAGACCCCCTGCCGAGCAGGGAGCCCGATGCGGGACTCGATCCCGGGACTCCAGGACCACGACCCGAGCCGAAGGCAGTCGCCTAACCAACTGAGCCACCCAGGCACCCTACAGCGTAAATGTTAACTAAATACTCATGGTGCTGGTGCAGGTGGTTAAGGAGTAGTGATTCATGGGTGGGAACTTTGCCAGCAGATGCCCTGAGTTGGGCATTGTGTATTAGAAATGATCAAGGAGAGCATCCCAGGTGGTGTAGGAAGTTTATTTAGGGGAAGTAATAATAATAGCTAACATTTAAAGGACGCAACTCCTATCCAAGCATTTTGTGCTAAGTAAGCACTTTATAAAAATTTTCACTTGATAGGAACAGCTTTGTGATGTGGGTACTAGCCCCATTTTAGAGATGAGGAACTGAGGAAGCCCAGAGGGGTTATTTTTGGGGTCACAGCTAATAAGTGGTAGATCCAGGATGCAGATTGGAACTTCCTGATTCTACTCACGCTATTGAAACTTCACAGTACAGGTAGAATTAGGGTCAAGGAGAGTCTCATTTTGAAGCCATTGGAAATTTTTAAATCTGGGAAATGGCATGCAGTTGGGGTTTTTAGGAATACTGATTTGGTAGTACTGTTGGATGCATCAGTGTGAGGAAAGATTTAAAAGGGGACCAGTAAGAAAGCTGTGTTAATCGAAATATGCAGTTCTTAATGCCTGGATGTTTGAGGCTAGTTTTGTGAGGGTTTGACACTATCAGTGGCCTGTTCAGAGCAGAATCCCAGGACACAGAGGAGAAAACTACCACAGTGGGGCAGCTGAGCTCTCGGAGTGCATGTGACCCCTACCTGGCCTAGACATTCACAGTGGTATTTACAGCACCAGAACTCGGTCCCTGAAACTCCAGGCCCTCCTGAATCACCTCTGGCCTGCCCTTAATGTGTAGCCTCTCTGGCAGATCCTCTCCGTGTGCTCTCACTGGGTGAGCTGGATTATTCCCATTGTGTCAGGTACTCCCTGTGTATCTGAGCACATCCTGGTCACTCTGGCCCCACTCTCTCCCCTCCCTACAAATGCCTGACCAGACCTTCCTTCAGTCCCGCTCCCACTTGATCATCGTGTCCTATCAGTGCCATCCCTTGGATATTTCTGGAATCTTCTCTCCCTCTCTAGTGATGGTTCGTCTTCCTTAGTGCATGTACTTGTTCTCTCCCACCTGCACTCCTGTAAGCAACTTCTTCAGCAAGCTTCGCACTGCTACCAGATGTGTCCACAGAGACACGATCAGGTCATTTCTCTATTCAGAGTCCTTTATTCTAACATCTTTATTGAGTGTCTGTTTTTGTGTGCTGGGAGCTGAGAGTATAGCCGTGAACAAACAAAATCCCATCCTTATGGAGCTTGCATTCTAGGGACAGGAAACAGACAAATAACGTGGTATGTCAGGTGGTGATAAGTTCTATAAGAATAAAGGTGGGTAAAGAGAAAGGAAAAGTGGATTCTGGGTGAAAATTTTCTTTTTATCTGACTTCAGGAGGCAGTGAAGTTTGGGGACCT